AACACACACAAACACACACAAACACACATAAACACACACACATATGCACACACACACACACACACACACACACACACACACACACACACACACACACACACACACACCAACAAACACACACACACACACACACACACACACACACATATACTTACAAACACACACATACACAAACACATGCGCATATATACATATTCATGCACAGACACACTCTCACACGCAGACACACACATACACACATGCGGGCACAAACAACACATCGGGGGCGAGCTCCCACTAGCAACGGGATAGGATAGAAACGAGTTTGTGGGGCAGTTGAGTGACCCAAATCCTGCCGTGCAGTACTGGTGATCCCACAGTCAGTATTTTACTTGTATTACCCGAAAAGGTAAGGAGATCTTCATTCCCCTCCTCCTCTCCTTAACATTGGGCATGCCCATGCAAAGAAAGTTTCCCGCTAGAATCTTTTCAATCGGTTGGGGCTGTGGCCAACCCCTAACGAGGGTGGGGTCGGCCTTAGGCCCATTGGATAAAAGATTTTCAGTATTTTACTTTCAATTGTGCAATTATCTCATTGGGTGGAGCCCTCCTTCAATCGCTGAGTATATGGAGGGTGTAAGGATCAGCTCTGACAAAAGTCAAGTTTATTCCAGAACATGTGGCGGTTACTTTGTTCACTGTTGTTGCAAGCTGCAACCACCACCATCAGATCATTTGTGATTTGATGGCTGGGAAGCACTCTGCTGTGATTTCCGGCGGGAGGTCTCTGTCTCTTTTTTTCTTTTTGTCTTTCTTCTGTTTTCTCAGCCCATAAATTCATAATGAACTTGTCAGGCCGCTGCCACTCAGTGTCACACTGGATCGGCCACACTCCTATTCGACTGCTAATTGGACCTCGCCCCTGCACACACATAACTCGGGCCTTGGGGGTTGGGGGATGTGAGGGCGGATGACTTAGAGGGCTTCTGGGTAGGTTTGGGGACTAGTGCCGGAGGGTTGGTGAGTGGCGGGTGGCAGGCCAGTCGGTGTTGGTCTAATTAGGTGGTATAAGAGGTGCTTCAGGGGTTGGGGGAATTTTTTTTTTTTTTTTTTTTTTTTTCTTGCCTAGGGCCGTGTGTTCCGGACCCCGGGCATCAGTTCCGTTTATCCGAAAAGCGTGGCAGCGGCCCGTTTTCATGTTTAACAGGAATTCAACGGAAGTTTTAAGAATTCAACGGGATTCAACGGGAGTTTAATTCCCCCGTTCCCCGTTAAAAAGACACATAGCCGCACACCCAACACCAGCTTGTCGAATCGCCCGACTCTCTTACTCACCTGCCAACTCCTGCTCGTTAGCCGATCCTCTCGACCTCGTTAACTCCAAAAAATCTTAGAGAGGGAATTAATCGACCTTGTGGGATTTATAGCATGCATGCTTCGCGCGAGATACTCGGGATCCTGTTCGGGTGGGAGGAAGGAGGAAGGAAGTGCTTACGCCTGCATGGCCAGGCCGCGGCGTGGGGGACACAACCACACTCCACACATCGATCCGGTGATGCAAGCGTTCAGACAAATAGGATGGGGGAGAGGTATGAGCGCGCAAAGGCGTCATAAACGATATAAAGAACGAGAGGATTACAGTTGCAATTACGCCCGCCAAACAAAGATTACAGTTGCATACGAGATTAAGGCGCAGGATAGTCAGAACAAAGTTCTTGACGCGGCAAGCAGGAAGCGCCGCGTAACAAAAATTGAAATGCGCCCAAATTCCTAATCTAAGTCCTAATTACAAAAAGAAAATTCGAACGAAGCAAATTTTGAGAGCCCATGGAGACTCGATATCAGTTGAAAATTCAAAAAGATTTCCCTGCGCGACAATCGCGCCAAAATTCCCATTTCCCACAACAGGACAAGAAAGAAGCTATGACAACCATTTATTTGTCGCGCTCACTAAGGCGTGATCAACTATCAACCGTCATGGGATCAGACGAGTCTTCAATCGAAAAAGACAAGAAAAAGCAGGGGCATCCATGCAATCCGCCAGGCCATTTCGACTCAGCCAATTTCACCCCCTCCCCCCTCGATATAGCCTCGCGCAGAAATCCGCACGGTTGCAGAAAACAGTTCATCACATATGTGACGCCCAGGGGGTTCCAATCTTAAGCAAGCTCCTGCTTGCTCTCCACCGTTGACAGGACCAGGTCCGTAGACTTGCCAACAATCATCGTGGAGCTGACACGTGCCACTCATCGTAAGATGAGAGTGTGAAAGTCATCTAAGGTGGCATCGCGAACTCCGATCCTAGAGGTTGTCGGGGAGAGGTAGTCTGATGACGGGAGGGGGAAGAGAAGGGTGAGCTTGGGGGAGAGGTGGTAGAAAGCGACTCCGCTCTCGATCCCCAGTGGGGAGCCAGGTGTAATGGATGGTGCGATGTATGTCGGGGAAGCGATGATCCTGGTGTGGGAGCGAAGCGAGGTAGTCAAGGTAAAGGGTACAGAGGGTGCGGGGAATCGCGATACGAAAATCCTCGTAGCCTTCACAAGCGGGGATGATGCCAAGAATTATGCAATAAACTTTTATGTTATTATATTATTGCCATGCCGCGCTGAAGAGAAGGACGTGGAGAGCGAAGGAGGTTACAATAGAGCGAGTGGTGGCGTGCGGGAAGACATTGATGATGAGGCGGGTGGAGTAGAGCTGGTGAAAAAGGGAAAGCCCTGGGGGGAAGGGATGCCAATTAGAGGGAAAAGGGGGTCGACCTGTGAGCTGGTGGATGGCAAGAAAATCAAGGGGACGACGGGATAACGACCGGGGACGAAGCTCGAGCGCCCTAATCTCCACGTAGGCGAATGGCGGGCTGCGGAGGTGAAGAGGATTGAGCCGGCGCCGGACTTCTTCTGCGGCGTCTGCTTCTAGATCCCTCCGACCAAGTCCACGGTGGCGACGCCATTTCCTCTGGATTCCTCCTCCGGCGGCTCTAGATTGCACGTGGGATCACCTTGTGACAGCTGCATTGCTAGCCTGTCCGATTCCTTTCACTGACCGCTTTCCTTCCGCCCTCTCTCGCCTCCTCTGGGCTGCCACCTCGTCCTTTTCCTTGCTCGGCTCGTCGGGGCTATTTGATTCATCCGGCCCACTCCCTCCCAACTGACTCTCCTCTGACTCGTGGTAATCGGGATCGTTGGTTTCCGCCTCCGAGTCTTCGTCTTCGTCTTCTTCTTCGCTTTCCTCTTCTCTTTCTTCCTCTGCATCGTTAGCTACCCCTTCCACCTCCACTCTTCGGACGATCGGATCCCACAAGGTGAGGTCGGTCACGTCGATGGCCAGGTTGTGGCCTGAGGAGGGGTAGTAGCAATTGTCACCGTCAAGCTCCGTACACGTGGACCACAGTAAATGCGGTACCAATGTACGGGTAAACGTCGCTACCGCGGGCCGCTCGTCGCAACACGAAATGATATCCAAGAGCAGAACGTCCAGGAGCTGCGCCAGGAACACCAGGACCTCGTTCGTGATTGGCTCCAGATGGCCGTCCCTGAGCTTCCCGAATAGAAGCCCCAACAGTTCTCCCTCCGTGTCCATTCTCCAAGCTTGGACGATCAACAACTCCACCTTGTCGTCAAGAATCTCGTCCTCCTCGTCTTTGTCGGTCGGCTCCACCCAATGGAACATCACCTCGAGGAGACGGAAGCTAAGTGCGACGTATGCATTCCACCACCCTGCCCACTTGCCCACGTCGAGGATCGGCACGTCCAGCTGTCGGATCCGCAAAGAGAGAGGGACGTCCGTAGCGGACTGCCAGAAGGTAGGGAGATCTGAGGGAAGCCCGACGGTCGAGAGGCGGTGCCGGTTCATTGAGGCGACGCAAAAGGAAGAAGCTCCAGGATGATAACCTCCGGTGTAGAGAGAGAGAGTCCAACCTGGCTGAGGTCGATGTCATAGGTGGAGTCTACCCAATCGCCTGGTCGGGCTAACAGTTGGATCCATGCCTCCGTGAGGTCCCGGGCCCAGAGTCGCAGTTGTCGGAGGGTGCCCGTATAACCTGCTGGATGTAGTGCCGTAAGAACGTCGGTGAAGGCGGCGATCACTGACACGTGGCTGTTGCCAGGCGGGGACAACTGCAGAAAAGACGACGCCTCGACCAACACTCTTGTTCGCTCGCTGGTGCGTGAAAACCGAAATTCCGCCGCCACGTGGATGACCGCTGTGCTGAAGAAAGCCGCAAAGCGAAGCGGATCCGGACTCGTGTGGCCACCGCACCTTTCAGATCAATGAAATATGCCCCCCGGGTCTCATTAGACGTTCATTGATGACCTGCTCGGTAGAAAAACTCATGGCGATGGGGAGGAGTTAGAGATGGAGGTTGAGAGGAAAGGGAGTTAGAGTATTCGAGCTCGAGATCGTCGCCTTCCCCCGCATTATCGAAGGATGACGTGGACGATGGCGGAGAAGGAAAAGGACGTAAGGGACGAAGATCGGACACGTGTCGGATGATCGGTCGAGCCGATCGACTTCCCGAGACCTCTGGCGCAAACCGCACCGTGTTCACTCCGCTAGGACAGAGCTCGACTACGCGAAATTGCCCGAAGAATCGTGGCGCTAACTTGCCTTGGCAAGCACATTTCCTCACTTCCACTATGTCCCCTAATTTATACGGGGGTCGGGGTCCAGCGTTCCCATTTCGGGCCTCATAGCTCCGGACATGCCGACCATGGGCCATTTCGGTCATCCGCTGTCTTTTTCGGGCTAACCGAGGAAGGGTTTTTTCCATAAATTCTAGGTGCTTTTGGGCCTTGTCTTTGACCACGCTCTCGTGGTCCGTCGCGCAAGGGTTGTTTCGTCATTCAGGTTTGGCAGGGCTACACAAGCCAGACTATTGATCCGTAACTGAAAAAGGGTCAGGCCAGTGGACTCATGAGGGGCCCCCTGGTGGATAGCTAGGATATGGTCCACGATATCGGGCCAAGGCCTCGTGTCGCGTGCCCCGATATTTCACCGCAAGGTGGTCATAGTCATCCGGTTCGCATTTTCTACTAGTCCGTTCGATTGCGACATATGGGGAGCCATATTACTAATAGAGACACCATGTATGACTATGCTCCTCAAGGCTTCTCCTTGGAATTCCGCCCTGTTGTCCGTTAAAATTTCCGCGGTATCCTGATGCATTCAACAAGAAACGGTTGACATACCGCACGATCTCCGCCGTCTACCGCGTGTTACACGGGTAGGCCTCGATCCATTTCGAGAAATGATCTGCGAACACCAAAAGAATTGAATATTCACAACTATTCGGTCCAGGGGGTAAGATAATATCTGTTGTGTCCATGCTAACCCTTTTGAACGGTCGCTCGACTACAGTAGGTACTATCGACCTAAGCGGCTGAATCGACACCTTATCTGCCGCGCAAATCGGACAATTTTTTACGTTAAATTTAACATTGTCCCTAATGTTGAACCAATACCACTCGTTTTTGTCAATTGCGGCTTCCGTGATTCTGACAGCAAAGTGAGCGGCGGTTTCCTCGTGGGGTCCGCCTTAACCTAGTCGTACCTCATGAACGGATGAGGCACCAACATCAAAATCCCACTACCATCAGTCTTTCGTTTTTCTAATCGTCCGTCGTTCCTTCGGTAATCCCGTGCCCTTTCGTTAGCTCGCCTCCGATCTTCCTTGGGTGAATTTCCGGAGGGAGTTCCTGACCACCGTGGCTATCAAAACGACATCCGTCCATACTTCTGCCCGTCGAAACTTACGTGTTTTCTCCAGCCCTTCTGACGTGGCTTCGAGGAATCGAGCCTCCGTTGGGATTTTTTCGGTTCAACACAAAGGGCATAACCAGGCTTTATCCGCATTTTTGTATTGGATACAGAAACCGTGGGCCCGGGATACATACCGTTCACAGTCTACCCACTCCACATATCCCTCCCTACTAAGATGCATGGGAACCGAATAGACCCGCGGTATTGCTTCGCAAAAATAACAAAATTTGTCGGGCAAGGAAAGGAGAGAAGAGGATGAGAGGGGAGAAAAAGGGCTTCTAGAGTTACCTTCTCCGCCCATCGTCATTGCGTTTACGTATCACTTCCTGGAAGGTTGCGGGAGAATGGCCACTTCTCCGTACGGGGGTCCCATGGCTGCCTCCGGCTCATTCCACGGAGTAATCTCCTCACCTTTTGCCACCTTACTTGGCCGATGCAGTCGTGTCAACCCGTACGCGTTCCCGTGCTTTTCCGTCTTTCGATGAATGATGTCGAAGTCGTACTCCTGTATCCAGACAACCTATTGACCAATCATGCCCGTGTAGTTGGTGAGCCTTTTGAGAGCTAGTAGGGGCTCGTGATCCGTGACGAGGAGGAATTTCTGTCCGTACAGATACGGATGAAAGTGCTGAATTCCCCAGACAACCGTGTAGCATTCGCCTTGTGGAGCCGAATCGTTCCTTTTTTCGCCAGGTACAGATCGCGAAGTGTACTCGATGATATGTTCGCGGTCGTCCTTCCCCTTTTGGGCCAAAATAGCGGAAATCGCCTCATGTTGTCAGTTCGTAATGAGAATGCACTGTTTCCCAGGATGGGGCTGAATCAAAATAGGTGCAGAGGCGAGGGCCTCCTTCAAAGTGACAAAGGTCTGCTCGCACTCCGCGTCCCACTTGCGTGGATGATCTTTCAGTAGGAGGTTTGTCAGGGGCCGAGCGATCGCTGCGAAGCTTGCGGTAGTACGAGACCAGCCCCAGGAAGGCTCAAACCTGCGTCAACGACGTGGGCGTAGGGTCTTCTCGAACCGCCTCAACTTTCTCGAATCTGGCCTCAAACCTCCCCGTGTGACGTGTCACCCACCACGTACCCTAGAAACAAGATTCCCGAGAGGAAAAACTCACTTTTCTCCAACGCAATCTTGAATCCAGCATCCCGCAATGCCCCGAGAGTCCACTCAATGTGCTGAGCATGGCTGTGAAACGATTCAGAATACACAAAAATATCGTTCATATACACAATGACGCAGTAGTTGATCATTCCCTGGGTCAGTCGGGTCTTGTTGACGAAGTTTTGAAAGGTGATGTTCATCGCTTTCTGAAAGGTAGCTGGCGCATTGCATATTCCCATAGGGCAACGAACCCACTGCCAAGTGCCTTCGAACAATACGAACGTCATTTTCGGCCGATCCTCCTCCTTATCCAGGATATGATGGAACCCATGGCGGATATCAAACTTACTAAAATATCTAACACACCCAATCACATCCAACAAATCATCAATTCTGGGGAGGGGGTACACATCCTTGATCGTGATATCATTCAGTAGCGGGCTCAATCCAACCGTTAGCTTCGAATTCCCTGATTCGCTCCAACGATGTCTTTCGTTCGGCGAGGGAGTACCGGTACGGCTTGCAGTGGATTGGGGGGTGCGTTCCGGTTTGGATTTCGTGCTGAATAACTAACGACAACCTGATATCTGTGTCTTTGACGTTAATCACTCCGTGATATTCGGTTAGGATATTTGCGACTAGTCGATGTGTTTCCTCGGGCACGTACTGGGGCACATGTAGCTCATATAGTTGTTCGTGTATGTTAAGTTGTTAACCGTCATCTTTTTTGTGGTACCCATTTTACTACCGTCCCCTGGCGGAGGAGCGGAAATGAACGAATTGTCCGATCGCCAGGATAACACCGTGGCGACCATCTGGGTGTCGGCTTCCTGGATTGCCACGTGCTCTTCTGGTGTTACCCCGTCGTCGATATCTTGCAAACTAACTGGTTTTTATGCGATCCTGATCTTGAGTTTGTATGAGTTGCCACGCCCAGGGGGTTCCAAAGTTCCGTCCTCGTCACTCTGTCGCAGCAATCGGACCTCTTTCCCTGTAGAGAGCAGAGAACGAGGCAGTTTCGAAATGTCGCAAAACACTTTCTTGTCACTGTATCTCGAGAGAAGCGGGGTGGTGGCCTCGTATAGGGCCCGAGGGGGTTCCGAAGAATCAGCAATTGGAGACACTTGGACGAGCGGCTCCCCACGGACTAAGGCTCGCATCCGCTGGAGGTTCCATTCCGTAAGGACGAATATTTTCGATGTCTTCTGTCGCACGGGGTAATGAATCCGTTGGTGCACCATACCCCGAATCTTGGGGTCCGTTTCATTCTCGCCTTTGGAGGAGCTACTTGACAACTCTGGTTCTTTTTCCCTTTCGTCCGTTTCCTCGGAGGGTTCCCTCCATAAGATTACGTGGAGTAGTTCTCTACTTCTGGGGGGAGTCTTCCAGGTCGTAGGGAGTACAGTCCGGAGAGTTAAACGTACCGTGATAACATACGACTTCCCGCTCGTATTCCGAAGGATGATTGCTCGTCTTTCGAAGTCGAGGTTGACTCTTAGCGGTAAGGGCCGGTAGTCCCAGAAGAACATTGTACGTATTCACGTCTAATACCATGACATCTCCCAACGCGTGAACTTTTCCCAATCGAAACGCAACGTCCGTCATCCTTCCTACTACTTTGATCTTTTCCTCGTCGGCGGAGACAAGCTGGCCTCCTTCCGCTAATGGGATAACATCCTTTCTTCTTCCTGCTCGTTCTACAACCCTCAAGGAAATGGCTAGGACTGCGACTCCTGAATCGACGATAGCGTTGTACAGATTTTTCCAAACTTCTATGTCACATTCCGCGAATTTCCACGGAATGGCCTTAATGTGAAAGAAATGATCATCTTTTCGAATGAGTCGTAACCGTATCGTGTCCGAGGTGCTGGGGACATCGGGTTTGTCTTCGCAGGTGGGGTCTTTCCCTTTGATGGCTGCCTGCCTTGAGAGGGCAAACCGTTTCCGGTTGGCCTTGCAATGCTGCAACATTCGCTTATTTGCCTATTCTTATATGGACATGAGATGTCCGATGGGCAAAGGGATCCGATGATCTAGAGCTTGGATGATGTTCAGGACATCGATT